TCCCTTTAGATTAGAGTTAGCGTCTAGTTCCCTTTAGATTAGAGTTAGCGTCTAGTTCCCTTTAGATTAGAGTTAGCGTCTAGTAGTCTTGGCCATGAAGTCAATTATATTTTATAAATGTATTGTAGAACTATCAAACAATGTTGAGTTTTTAAAATGTATGGTTTGATGGATATTACTTTATCCATGTTCCAGCTACAGGAGCTTAAACCCTAAAGGAACCACTCTTATCTCTATGATCACGTGTTTCAGTCTTTATTTGTTCTGTCAAAGCTCGACCCAGCTGTTAAGAGATGTTTCCCGGTTACCAGTTGTAGGAGAGCTGCAGCTGCAGGCGGGCGTGGTCGGCCGTCTCGATGGTGATGACGTCGGTGACGAAGTCGGGCCCCAGCAGGAGGCAGATGGCCTTGATGACGTTGGCCCTCTTCGGTTTGTCTCCGGACAGCGACAGCATGGTGAACTGCTCATCGGGTCCCAACATCACCAACTCCGGTCCGAACAACACCCTGAAGACAAAAACCAACAACCCCACGTCAGCCCCATCATGTTCCCAGTCACGTCCTCCTCCACCTGGACAGTCTACGACCCTGAGAATCCCTCACCTGGCCTTCTTCTCTCTGTAGTCGTACACCTGGACGGCGGCGTTGTGGGGGACCCGGTAGGAGACCACCCTGGTCTTGTCCCTCGGCTGGCCCTGTCCGGTCCTGGTCCGGTCCGAGCGGTCGGCCAGCGGGTCCAGATTAGAAGCCAGCAGGGTCTCCACGTTGGGAGGAAGCTCCTTCTGCCACAGCTCCTCGTCCTGAGTCAGCATGTAGGTGTGACCGATCACGGCGCGCACCTGAGAGGAGACGCACAGTAGCTGAGCTGGATGGTTTTTATGATCCACACTGGCATTTTATATTTATTGTATTCATTCTGTATTTGCACCTTATTGTGTTCTTAAATGTTTTATATTTGCACTTAAAGTTTCCCTCTGGATTCTACATCTCATCTTAGATTCTATTTTACAATTCAATGCGGCTTTATTGGCATGCATGTTTCAGAAAAAGCACACGATATTATTAAAATAAAATTAATAAAATACAAATTAGAATCAATAATAGTTGATAAATATAATAAATATAATATTTTGTTGCCTTGTTTGAGTGCAAAATGTTTTTTGAACTCTTTCGTTGAGGCGTTCAATGCTCGAGGAAGTTTAAGCTTCAGAGACGAGAGAAAACATAAAAACATGTTTCATTTGGATCAAAGAAAATTAAAAAATTTAAAAAAAAGAAAGTATGATAGAATAAAGTGTCACCGTCCTGGTTTGAAGTCGTTTACAAAACAATAAAACGCAGAACTGATGGCGGTTTGTTACCTTTCCCGTTTTGATGTCTCTGACGTAGATGCCCTCGTTCTCGTCCAATGGGATCGCCTGTCGTCTCAGCGCCACCTCCACGGCGACGGGGGGGACATACTCGACGGGTCCTCGCAGCATCCAGCGGTCTCCGGGGCGACGTAGGACGCCGCTCCTCCGCGAGCGCTTCGCCCTCTCCTGCCCTCCTTCCTCCTCTTCCTCCTCTTCCTCTTCATCGCGCTGGCAGAGAGAACGGGGGAGAGAGAGGTGGAGGAGGGAGAGAAGGGTTAACGTGGCGATGCATTGGAGCGGCGGAGGAGTGGGAGGAGAGAGAGGAGGAAGAGGAGAGGGGGTTTGAGAGGAGCACTGAGAGGAAAAATGAAAACCCAAAGTGAAAGACATTTCAAAAAGCAGAGGACAACGTAAAAGGATGGAGGGAGTGAAGAAGAGAGGATTCAAAGGAAAGGAGGGAGAGAAGAAGAAGCACAGAGTCGGGGTACAATGAGTCCGCCGTGTTAGGAAGGGAAGATGGTGCAGTAAAGGACAGAATCACCTCAAGTCCTCAAACATCTCACACTTCAGAGATGAACTGGTGTTTTCATCTAATGCATTCTCTCTAGTGTCCACCAGGGGGCGACTCCTCTGGTTGTATAGAAGTCTATGAGAAAAATGACTCTACTTCTCTCTTGATTTATTACCTCAGTAAACATTGTAAACATGAGTTTATGGTCTCAATCTCTAGTTTCAAGTCTTCTTCAATACAGCATGATGTTCATTTAGTACATTATGGTCCATTTAGAGTCACACAGACCATAAAGCAGGGGATGCTTTAGGGCGGGGCTACACGGTGATTGACGGGTCTCTAGAGACGTATACAGCGTCTCTACGTCACTCCTCCTCAGTCCATATATGGTCACTTCCTGTTCACTGGTTGTGATATAAACAAGATGGCGACGGACAAAACGCTGAACTCGAGGCTTCAAAACGTCCACAAACCAACGACATTTTAAAATGTGGCCAATATCAGACTCCATTGAATTAATGAGCAGATGATAACCTTTAACCTCAGGAAGTACATTTTTAAATCATGAGAAGAGAAGCTGCTGTGGGTGAAGGGATTTGTTTCTATGGCTCCAATAAACTACAAACCCTAACCAACCGATCATACTGTGTGATAAGAGCTTAAAGCAAGTCAGCAGCGCTGATCCTTCACATGAAGACCTCCTCCCTTTACCCACAAATACCTGCAAGAAGCTCAAGCTGCAACACCTCTGAACAAAGCAATGAGTGAGGGAAGGTGTGGTCGGAGGACTTTAAACCTTCCACCACACAGAGCAGAGACACACCTCACACCAGACTGAACAGATCCGTCTCTGTAGGAGTTTGACTTATTAAAAGTCTTCTGTGATAAACCGGTCCCACAAACATTCCTCTGAAGTCACAGAAACATGAAACGCTTTAGAGACCGACAGCAGAATCAAACATGGAAACACAGGAAACGCTCCGACAGGTTTTCATAGCGCTGCAGAGCGCGAGGTAGTTATTTATCTGTGTCTGTGTAGATGATCATCATCATCACATTACTGCTGTGCAGAGGAAAGTAACTCAGTAAAAGTACTCAGGTACTGCACTTAAGTACACTTTTGAGGTACTTGTACTTTAAGCGTACTTTATACTTCTAATTCACTACATTTATTTAATAAGTTTAGTTACTCTACAAATTCATTTAAAACTAAATCTAATCGACTAATAAATGACGACATATTAATATACAGTTGTGTATAAAATAATGCATCAATAACTTTAATACTAACATATATATTATTCTGAATAATAAGTACTTTTACTACCTAAAAGGAAAATAAAAGCGAATACTTTTGTACTTTTGGTGAAGTAAATCTTTGAACGCAGCACTTTTACTTGTAACAGAGTATTTCTACACTGTGGTATTAGTACTTTCATGGAAGTAAGAGTATCATAGTACTTCTTGTGTACAGTGCTGATCCTCTCCTCACCTCCTCGGTGTCATTGAACGCCTCCACAGCCCTCAGCACCAGACCCTCCTCCTCCGACAGCACGTACACGTCCTGAATGCCGCTTTCAAGGAGCTCGCCCGGCTGCAGGAAAAATGAGCGCTCACCCTAACGGAGAGAAAGAAAAAGAAGATGTGAGTTATGGGGAGAATAAGTACATAATGTACTTATAACTAAAGTAGTAGTTTTATTTGCAGGATAGAGATAGAAATTCAGATGTAATGTCACAGATTGAACTAACTAAATATAACGGATTAGTAACATTAACATGGAGACATATCCGACAGCATTGGACGTGTCCTCACCTTCACCACCCTCTTCTGTCCCAGCTGAGGCTTCCCGTCAGATCCGACCGGGTCCAGAATCACACAGTACTGCCTGCTGCTCAGCGTGGTCACATCCACCACCCCCACCACCTCCTCCGCCACAGCCGGGATGTGAGCCTCCCGGTCGTCCATTGTGACCAGCCACTCCTCCCCCGTGCGCCGGTCCCGCCCGCCGGCGTCCTTAAAGGGCCGCAGGGCACGAACGGAGAGCGCTTTCTGAGGAGACACGAGCACACGACAAGGGTCAAGCTTTTATGTTTTGAGAGTGCTGTGATGCTCCTTTAAAGTGCACCGTTTCAGGGTCGATCAAGTGGACGTTGACATTCGGAGAACTCATTTTATAAGAGGCAACGCAAGTTACGCAAAATTCACGTGACACGAAAGCCCATCAGAGCTGAGAAAATCATTATTAATGTTATAATAATTGAATGGAGTGTGTTCACCCAGATGTGTCTGACTGTAGCTCATATGTTTAGAGAACAGACCAAACGCTTAAGTGTACAAAAAATAACATCGCTGTCGTATTTACACACAAGATGACGTTATGTTGAGTGTTGATGGAGAAACTGTGGCTAAGTGGATAGCAGGGCCGTCTTTCAATCAGAGGGTCGGCGGTTCGAGCTCCGGCTCCGCTAGTCGCATGTCGATGTGTCCTTGAGCAAGACACTTAACCCCAAAATTGCTCCCGTAGCTGTGCCTACGGTGTGGAAATGTGATAGAAGCTGAATTGTAAGTCGCTTTGGATAAAAGCGTCTGCTAAATGACTGTAATGTAAGCTACAACGTTAGCTTAGCATAGCACTGATCGATCCAAACTCAATTCAGAAAACAAACATTTTAACAGTTATTTGCTTGTCGTCTTGCAGAGAGAACTAACAAAACATGAATTCAGACTTCTAATAAATCAGCATTGTTATGCAGTTATTTCTGCATCATTTTGATCTGTTTATTGATTCTACATCACAGCAAAATATGTGTTCAGTTTTCTGGGACTTCGACAACATCTACAATGTTTAATCAGTTGATGGTTGATGAAACGTTGGCGTCTACATCCCTCATCTGAGTGACGCGAATAACCACAAATGATCCCGCGGTGAAAACTTGCTTCGGTTCTTGTGAGTAGAGCCAGCGAGGCGTCGACTCACCTTGTCCGTCAGGATGAAAGCGTTCACGATGTCGATGACTTCTTCATGGGCTCCTGGAAGGTACGCTCCCACCTTACTGACCAGCCACTCCTCACCTGCAACACACACACACACATAAATATTATTAATTAAAACTGTACAAAATCTGGATTATAGGAAAGAAAAGTACTTTACTGAACTTTAACGTTCACTAACGAAAGTGAAGAATTTGTGAGGACTGAATAAACATCCAATGACACACCCGTAAATTTAAAACATTGACAGAAGTTTTATAGAGGAAGAAAAGTCTCCCCCTCCCCTGTGTTACCTGTGACTCCGCCCCCTCAGAGCGTGTGTGCTACCTGTGACTCCGCCCCCCCAGAGCGTGTGTGCTACCTGTGACTCCGCCCCCTCAGTGCGTGTGTGCTACCTGTGACTCCGCCCCCTCAGTGCGTGTGTTACCCGTGACTCCGCCCCCTCAGTGTGTGTGTTACCCGTGACTCCGCCCCCTCAGTGTGTGTGTTACCTGTGACTCCGCCCCCTCAGTGTGTGTGTGTTACCTGTGACTCCGCCCCCTCAGTGTGTGTGTTACCTGTGACTCCGCCCCCTCTGTGTGTGTGTTACCT